TTGAGTCATCGTTATAACACAAGAACACACACCTCTGCCGTGCAAAAACTGAACAGCTCCAAAGCGAGAGGTGGGATAACATCCAGTGAAAAGGAAATAAGTATGGTGATACGAGGATACTGCCCCTTGCCAGTGCCATGGAACAACATTCTCGTAACATCTATTTACAAATGCTAACATTGCCTTTTCAAGATCAAGAGGAAGCCAATTTAGATAAATGCTTCATTTTATTACAAAAGTGAAATCCTTTAAATGAAATAAAATTTATGGTTGTATGTACTTGCTGCTGATGCTCTGAATAAAGATAAGCCACTGAAAGGATGGAGATGTGCCACCGAGCACATGGGTCAGGAGTTCACCGCACTCAAGCTGTTTTAGCACAGTGGTTTCATAAATGTGTGAAGAAGATTATATTCTTCACTTCATTTTATTCAATCAGATCAATTTTATGCCTACTTCACCCAAAAAGCAACTGGAAGCTGAAAGACAGAAGTCAACTATGTCCTTCCAAGCTATGGAAAAAAGTGGGGTATGAGAAATGGCTACAATCTTAAAGGACATGAGGACCAGGATGACATACTGTCTTTGTTACATTATTGACTTGTTGGAAATGTAAAGCATGTTTAGATAAACATTATTTTCCATATGAGTACAGCACATTCACTCAACTATTAAAAACATTTATAAAAAATTTATTTTTGGGCCTTTTTAATTGGAATTCATTTCCCATCCAAATGCAGCTTGACCCACCATGTGTTTAAAAATTACTCATATGGTAAATAGGAAAGCTGCCATTTACCTTACACCAACATGAAAGTTTAAAAAATAAGACTGAAATACTCTGAGACAGAGTATTGCTTAAATAAAAAGGTACTGATAGAAGACCTTCATCGGTAAAATGAAATACAAGATTTAATGAAAAAGCTTATAATTAGTACAGAAAATCATCAATTTTGTTTCAAACTCAAATGAGAATTAGCCTTAAGAACATCTACTGAGAAAAAGAAGTGCAAACGACTATTAAAACTAACTATTTAAGTAAGTCTTTCTTGCTTACATAGCTGGTGTTGCTTCACATCAATCCCCACTACCATGGGGAAACTTAAAATTCAGGAGCAAGAAGCAACGAAGATCCAGCAAAGGAAAGATTGTCCTAGTAATTCACTTTCTGACTGATGAGCAACATTCATTCTAAAACACCTCCTCTCCCTGCCTTTGGAAACAGAGCATTATTTCATTACTTTTTCTGCGCCCTAACCTGAGATTCACAGGTTGTCAGGTCTCCGAGGGGAATTTGAGGACTCTGGACATTTTTTGACGTGCACGGGGCAGCTCTCCTCCCCGTCTGTCGGTGCAGCACGGGCATGGCGCCGAGATGCAGGAGGCCAGCAAGGACCTGTGCACAGTCTCACTGCCCTTTTTGGGTGCCCTGGTGCAGACAGGATCACTTCTGCTACCTGTCTCCACAGCACTTTGTGCAATAGTCCTGACCTAAGACTTAGATGCCCGAGCAGTATCGTAATGCGAGTAATAAATAACAAAACCAGCCAGGATATTCCTGTTTATCATGCTGCAACTCTGAGGAATTTTCGCTTTTGTTTTATACGGGGTTATCTCTCAGCCCTTGCCATTTTTACTGTCTCAGTTTTGCCCCCCCCCGCCCCGCAGTACTTCAATTCACCTACACCACGTATTTCACAGGAGCGCATTCTTGCTCTCCTTGCTGAACACGGCAATTGCTCGCACCGAGTGCGGATCTCTGAGCAGCAGCTGGCAGGCAGCAAGTCTCCCAGCACAAGGCCTTCATCTGTTCACATGAAGCTCGGAGTTGCAGCAAACGCTACTTTTGGGCAGCTGCCAATCTCACAACCAAAGAAAAGATTGTCGTATTGGCAGCAAGCGCTTTTTGTGGTGAGCTGCCAATCTCACAACCAAAGAAAAGGATCCTAAACAAAACTGGGATATTTCTTCTCTCTTGCCCTGGCACGCAGCATGAGGTGTGCACCCCTGGGGAGCCCCTTCTCTGTGTGCCCTTCACTAGGGATTTTGTGGCTGCTGCTGTTTT